ATTGAAGTCAATGAGGTCTGCTTTTCTTATGGCCATCCACAGCATCACACATTGCCTAGCTTTTTCAGTGGAAATGCTACAAATGCATTTCTATATTTGGTCAAGTACCAAAAAATATTAAACAGCATGTACAATACTTTCAGAACTCACCTAACAGAATGACCAATATGGAAAATATTCAGACAATTTTGAATAAAACAAATGTTCAAGAGTGCAGATTTCACAAGATGTTCCAAATGTTCTGGCTTTCTTTTGGAAGTCAGTGAAATTGATATAGACTTTGGTAGTCCTCTCAAAAGATAAAACAAATGCAAAAGCAGCAGAATTACTCAAAATAATTGTCTCCTATAAATTTTTATATTTATCCCAAAGCCTTTCAAACCAGATCAATTGACTATAACAGTTTCATCACTTCTGACTCAGACTACTGAAAGATAAATGCACTCTCAGAAAATATGTATGAGGTCAGCTTACAAACATTCCTATCATCAAAAAACATATGACATGAAGATACTTATACTATAAGTAAATTCAAAAATCATTCATTGAAATTCACAGCTAACAAGGAGAAAGAAAGCGAGTCTCTGTAAACAATCTGCAAGCAAATTCATACATCTTTCAGACAGATTTGAAGAAAAAGGTGGCACTTGTGTATTATGTGCAATGTGCACACTTCTCACCACACAAAATGCTTACTGGTGATGACATTTCTTTAGTTTCAGTGGTCATATCCACACACTTTCATAAGCAACAAGAATTTGAGTGCACTATGGACAAATTACAAACTGAATTTGATAGCTTTCATGCAATCCTTGATTCCCTAAGCAGCAGCTTAAAATAGCTAAACAAGTTGCTCAATTTGCTTGTAGCAAAAAGGGCATTTTTGGTATAATTGATAGATTGTCAGAAATATTCTCTTGCACTCTTAACAGTAGAATGCAAGAGAGAATTATCTACTCAAAACCTGATCAAAAGAAGACTTTGAAGTCACTTAAAGACTGAAAATATAGAACACCAGATGAGAATATCAATAGATGGTCCTAACACAAGTAACTTTGATTTTGAAAGTGCATTTCAAGGTTGGTGAAAAGTACTAACAACTTTAATGACACATGAAAGTACATATAAAGCATTATGATCAAATGTTTATTCAGAATTATTCATTAAAAATCATTCCTATTTCTAAGTAACAGCTTAACATGTTACTTTTGCTTTCTAGACTCCAAATTAATAATGTTACTAGCATCTGCATTAATTAGTAAGTAAAACTAGTGGTGATAAGTAATTTGAAGTGGCAAAAGAAATTTAAAACTAAGAAAATGCTTGACAATTTTTAAAAAATTTTCTAGAGCAACCCTGATAACATTTTTGTTTTTTGGAAAATTTTAAAGAATATTTGGGTATACACTTATTATTCTTTTAAATGAAAACAAAAACTGCACACGAATAAACTGGAAATGTAATACTCAAAGAAATAACACCTAAACAAAATTTCCAGCAAACAAAAATAAATTTTTTTACTGGTCAAGAACACGGCAATATTTGATCGATAGAACTGTTTTTCATATGAGAGCCGATAAACTGTAGCCAAAAATGTTTGACCAGTAAAATTTTTTTACTTCTTTGCTGGAAATTGTGTTTAGGTGTTAGTTCTTTTAAACTGTCTACTTAATTTTTAAGGGAAAAAATATGAATGGAGCAAGGAACGAAAAATTCTCTTCCCAGGAAAATAAAATGAACATATTAATACAAAAGAAGGAGTTTAAAAGCAATACAAGATTAAAAATTGCCTAATTAAAATCCAAAAAGACTTCATTTACTATTTAATATGTCTATTTTCTTTTAATTAAAAATTTTGGATGTTGTATAGATTACTCCTGGTGGAATTTAGGGACTTTGAATATACATCTGAACTCAGGGGACCAAGACGAGTTCTACGGTACCCTACTTTTGGACTGGAGAAGAAAAATAACAAAGTTATCATATTTACAATTTCTTGCCTTTCACAATGCATTCTATGCTATTTTAGAGTTAGTTTTCCACTAGGCGGCACTGCTTGTAGTTCAGTATACGTTTCCTCTTTTTTTTTCTTTTGTTCAAGAACTACTGTGAATCAATAACTAGTGACGTTAAACACTGGGCAGCCTGCCTGCTCATTAAACTGATATACAGACTAGCCTGATGTTAAACACTGGGCATGCTCTCGATGGATTCCTCCATCGAGAGCACAAACAGTTGAACACCATCTAGTGAAAAATTAAAAAAGGCATAGAGTGCATTGTGAAAGGCAAGAAATCGTAAATATGATAACTTTCTTACTTTCAAATTTGACCCTCCGGATTTTTTGAAAATCTCATTGTTTTGAGATCTCATGAACCCAAAATAGTAAAAAAAAGGCGGAGAATTTCGTAAATGCTATTAACTTTTGATGGTTAAAGGTCGAGGGGGTGGGGGCATAGGTCATGCATCATATCTCGAGGGGCTCGGACAATTTTAGGGAAGACTTTACTCGTTTTTAACATTCGCAATTTTTTTTATTTTAATAAAACTCATCTCTACCCTCAAAGTAAACTTTTGACAATTTTATAATTATTAATAATATAAAAAATTTTAAAATAAAATCTCATAACAGAAGGTACCATACGCAATTTTAATTTTGTCAGTTAAGTTACGTAATCCGTTGTTGGATTTTTTTTCTGTACCCATCGTGTATTTTGGATAAGACTACCTAATTGTAGGCTTAGTCGAACCCACAATGGTCATAGAATAAAGTCCAGCTTAGTACCCAATATATCTACTACAGACCGCCCGAAAAATTCCTCTGAGATGTAAGTTTATTGATATGAGGGACCCGGATATCAATAGACTTACATCTTAACTGCTCGCCATCCCGCCAGCCTTGATCTTCTGGCCGTCGAGGTAGAGATTTATAAATATTCTTTCGTAGCTTCAAAATTTTATATTTGTTAAACTTATCAATAGAGTAATTAAAATTAAAATCTAATTTATTATTCTTAATTTCGATTTTTTAAAACATATGTATAAAGATTAATGTGTTTAGATTTATAGAGACATTTGGCGTGAGTTGTTAATATGAAAAGGACAGATGTTATTAATTTTACTACATGTTTTCTACATATAAAATTACTTATTTTTCTCAAAATGTTTTCTAATAAATTTTTTTGTAGAATCTCAAAAGCAATATCAATATACAGTGCTTCCGTTATCAGTTAGGATTTATTTTCAAGAAATTTCGAAGATGAAATTCTTCAAGTTTTATATTATTTTGATTTTTTTCTCTATCTGTAAGTGTTATGAAAATTAATTTAGTTTTAATTTTGTGTTTGTAATAATATAATTTATTTTCTATTTAAGTTGTACATGAAGTGAATACATGGCAGAAGATTTTACATGGGTATTATCTATCGGATAAAAATGGAATTTTCGTGTCTTGTAAAAATAAATTCGATGAATATTTCTGCCTAAAAAAATGCGTTAATAATGGAGCTAAAGATGGTTATTGTATGGATCATTCCCTTATTTGTTTTTGTAAATTTAAAGTCGATCATTCACCTAATCGTTTAATCAAATCTTAATCTTAAAACAATTCAAAGTAAATAAGTGTGATGTTAAAAGGAATAAATTACTAAATTTATTAAAACTTTCAATTTATCCTTATTAGAATAACGTTCTTAATCATAAATTTAAGTAAAAAATACTCTCTTAATGCCCACAAGTCGAAAAATAAAAAATAGTTCCGTCAATTTTTCTTTTTGGAGTAATTTTACTCTTTCACTGTAGGTACCAAGAGAGCTTTTTTTTTTAAATCAAGCACATTATGGGTTCGGCCAGACCCTCAATAGCTCAGTATATGGAGGTAATTTTATAACTCACGCTGGAAAACAACGTTCTCGAAACATTTCCGGAACGAAAGCTACGAAATAATTAAGTCTATTGATATAATTTATAAAAGAAAAAAAGGAGGCAGTTAATTTCGAGCAAAAACTTTAATTGATTTTAAGCAAGAAATTATATGATTATAAAATACAGTCAGCTGTTTTATTCTTTAAGTCTATTTTATTACTTATATAAGAGTATTAAGAGGATAAAATTTTGATAACTAAATTTATTCATTTTTGATTTATGACTATGAGTTCCCTAAAGCGGTAGATTGACATTTTAACCTTATATAAGAAATTCGCGGTCGCGATATTTTCTTTAGCAATTGTGGTCAATCTACAGATACTAGATGATTTTTTTTNTCCTCCTACGAGAGCACAAACAGTTGAACACCATCTAGTGAAAAATTAAAAAAGGCATAGAGTGCATTGTGAAAGGCAAGAAATCGTAAATATGATAACTTTCTTATTTTTCGTCTCCAGTCCAAAAGTAGGGTACCGTAGAACTCGTCTCGGTCCCGAGTTCAGATGTATATTCAAAGTCCCGAAATTCCACTGGGAGTAATCTATGCAAAAGCCAAAATTTTTTCCATAAAAAAAAAGTACGACTATTCTCATAGACCAAAAGTTTTTAATAAGCTGGCCCTGATCACATACCTAAATCAGAAATAAACAAACATTACCTGCACAACTGTACCAAATAATTCTGGAAAAACATACACAAATACAATCGGAATTTATTTATTTTATGAATATTTTGGTTCTAATGTCTTATATCTTTGATGAAAACACACACAAAGAAAATTGGAGCAGCTTTCAATTTTAATTTTTTCTATAATTTTTTACGCATAATTAGCAATCATTAACCATTGGTACGTACAGTACTTCTACCTTCTACCCGTACTTCAAACTATGAATGAATGAAATGACATTGATAAATATCAAATAAGAAACATGAAACAAATCAAATATTTCATAAATAAAATTAAATATATCGAATGGAATGTCATATTGAAATTTATCAACATATAACCTTATATAATAATCGCAGTAATTAATAATCATTTAAAGAAATTAATTTATGAACAAAGAGAAACAAACCCGTATCATTGTGCACAATGCTCAGTCGAAACGGTTCATTCTGCCAAATATAATTAATTAGATAAGGACCCAAATTAGCAATGTACTCTTCTAGATATCTTTCCAATAGATGTTTTCTTGTTAAATCATCCCTGGAAGCCGAAAGGTTAGGAAAAAGCCAATATTTGACACAGTCTTCTTCTACCTCGTGTATGGACGACGCCATTTTCTTTCCGCACCCTCTGGAGGATTAAAATCGAATGAGGGCATAACCACTTTTTGAAAAATGAGTCATGCAGAAAAAATTTCAACGCGCTATTTCTTTTTCAAATTAAACATATTTATTTACAATTTTATCTGTAGTTTTTTCAAATAAATAAAGTTAATTTGACTTCTTTTCGATAAAGCAGCGGTTCTCAACCATCTGTACTGTACGTCTTGTAGAACTAACAGATCCTTCTTGCGTACCAATGGTTGAAAACTGCTGCAATAAAGTGTTATTAATGGAATTTATTCCGACAGAGAGAGAGAATTTTTATCTTTTTATTAAGAAAAATAATCAAATATATCCTACCTTATTGTTAATAATTAGTACTAAGTTTAAATTGTTAACCCACATAACTAATCATGCAAATACTGTAAAACTAATATAACTATCTATTTAAGCACAGATAAAGAAAATTAAGTGGCGTAATGACTAACAGAAAAGATATCAATAAAACTCTGACTAATAGGAAAAACCTGTTCTGCTTGTATTTATCGATTTCTTTGCGGATTAAAATATAATATTTTCTATAATATTTTAATGTTAAATACTATTTAANGATCGGATCTTACGATTCGAAACTCGGAGAACTATTCTCACGGAATAGGCCGATTAAGTGGTACTAACGAATTTGTGTACCCCCGGCTGATCTCACAATAAGGGAATTTCAATATAAAAAAAAAAACATATTTTAGAACACAATCCTAAATCTATTTCCAATGTTAACTTTTTTGGCATTAGTTTGAGTCTAGTTTTTCATATAATTAAGTAAAATTTATAGCAAATAATACAAATGCTAAGATAAAATATATTAATTTTTCAGGAAAGATCAGTAATGAAGTTAATCACATACCCCTTTATTCGATATTTTATAGCTTGTTGAATTGCTTGACTTGCTTTAGTAGGACATGAGGTACTGACAACAGCTTTAATGCAATCTGAAATTTTTGGCTTTTCAGTAGGAACAGATGATTGAGCAGGAACTTGAGTACTGCTGATAATGTTAATGTTTTGTCGATATATATATACCTTCAATAAAATAATTAGAATAAGTCTAATAATAGAAATAATAAAATATGTTTTTAAATGCACTTTAAATACAAATTTCAAATAAACTAGCATGTTGAATAAACTGAAAAAAGCTGAGAAAAATTCTACTCTAAGGTGATAAAAGTTCAAGAAATTTAAAACATTCTAAAATCCCAAATACTAGTTATATTTGAATAAATTTGTATAGATTAAAAGAATATTTTTATTTTTAGATGAGAATTAATCTCAAAAATATTTATCAAAGTTTCAGTAAATTACTTCCATAAAGTAACAAAAAGTTTCTTTTCCTACTTTTTGTAAAGATTTATGAAAAAAGTCAAAAAAAAAAGATGTCAAGTAATGAAAAATAAAGTTATAATGAAATTTATTATAAAAGTAACAAATTATCTAAATTAATCATATCATTAAATACAAGATTTAGCAGTTGTATCTGATATATCCAGTAACATTAGACATAAAACTTGTATGTTTATGTCTTTAAAAGATTTGTTAAAGAAATGTAAGATTTAACAAATAAACAAATTTATCTACTTGTTAAATTATTCAGAAATTTAATGCATTTTATTTGAGTACAGAATATGCGTAGGATTAGTTAATTAGAACTTCAAGTAATTTATTTTTGGTAAGATTTTTTGTGTGCTGTAAAAATGAGTTAATAAGAAATATTTCAAATTTCTATTTTTATTTTACACCATTAAAATCCAATAATGATAAAAATGTATTGCTTAATTTTATTGATAAGATTTAAATGTTTGAGTAATTTTAAAAGTACAGTATATTTCAAATCATATTACCCTATTTTCACTTGTATCAGGATTAAGCCATTTTGGCAGTGATTCTGCGGCTTCAATAAGTAGAAATTCACCATCATTATCCTTCACTCTAGAAGAACAAGATACAGAAAATTGTATTAATATNTTTATATTATAATTTATATATTGAAATTATACTTTTGTTAATTATCTATATATAAATATGTTATGTAAATAAATTTTGAAATTTTGATATTTAAGGGAAAAAATTGAGAATAATTCAAAAAAGGAGAGATATAATTAACTATTTTACTTTAAGATGATGTAGTGATTTGTAAATTCATATAAAAGTTATTAATATAAATTTAATTATTATTTTTTATTCTTTTCACCTTGTAAGCATTAAAAAGCGGGCCTTTAACTTTCCCAGCTTGTTATAAATATAACACGGAAAATTTGTCAAATTTGACCCTCCGGATTTTTTGAAAATCTCATTGTTTTGAGATCTCATGAACCCAAAATAGTAAAAAAAAGGCGGAGAATTTCGTAAATGCTATTAACTTTTGATGGTTAAAGGTCGAGGGGGTGGGGGCATAGGTCATGCATCATATCTCGAGGGGCTCGGACAATTTTAGGGAAGACTTTACTCGTTTTTAACATTCGCAATTTTTTTTATTTTAATAAAACTCATCTCTACCCTCAAAGTAAACTTTTGACAATTTTATAATTATTAATAATATAAAAAATTTTAAAATAAAATCTCATAACAGAAGGTACCATACGCAATTTTAATTTTGTCAGTTAAGTTACGTAATCCGTTGTTGGATTTTTTTCTGTACCCATCGTATATTTTGGATAAGACTACCTAATTGTAGGCTTAGTCGAACCCACAATGGTCATAGAATAAAGTCCAGCTTAGTACCCAATATATCTACTACAGACCGCCCGAAAAATTCCTCTGAGATGTAAGTTTATTGATATGAGGGACCCGGATATCAATAGACTTACATCTTAACTGCTCGCCATCCCGCCAGCCTTGATCTTCTGGCCGTCGAGGTAGAGATTTATAAATATTCTTTCGTAGCTTCAAAATTTTATATTTGTTAAACTTATCAATAGAGTAATTAAAATTAAAATCTAATTTATTATTCTTAATTTCGATTTTTTAAAACATATGTATAAAGATTAATGTGTTTAGATTTATAGAGACATTTGGCGTGAGTTGTTAATATGAAAAGGACAGATGTTATTAATTTTACTACATGTTTTCTACATATAAAATTACTTATTTTTCTCTAAATGTTTTCTAATAAATTTTTTTGTAGAATCTCAAAAGCAATATCAATATACAGTGCTTCCGTTATCAGTTAGGATTTATTTTCAAGAAATTTCGAAGATGAAATTCTTCAAGTTTTATATTATTTTGATTTTTTTCTCTATCTGTAAGTGTTATGAAAATTAATTTAGTTTTAATTTTGTGTTTGTAATAATATAATTTATTTTCTATTTAAGTTGTACATGAAGTGAATACATGGCAGAAGATTTTACATGGGTATTATCTATCGGATAAAAATGGAATTTTCGTGTCTTGTAAAAATAAATTCGATGAATATTTCTGTCTAAAAAAATGCGTTAATAATGGAGCTAAAGATGGTTATTGTATGGATCATTCCCTTATTTGTTTTTGTAAATTTAAAGTCGATCATTCACCTAATCGTTTAATCAAATCTTAATCTTAAAACAATTCAAAGTAAATAAGTGTGATGTTAAAAGGAATAAATTACTAAATTTATTAAAACTTTCAATTTATCCTTATTAGAATAACGTTCTTAATCATAAATTTAAGTAAAAAATACTCTCTTAATGCCCACAAGTCGAAAAATAAAAAATAGTTCCGTCAATTTTTCTTTTTGGAGTAATTTTACTCTTTCACTGTAGGTACCAAGAGAGCTTTTTTTTAAATCAAGCACATTATGGGTTCGGCCAGACCCTCAATAGCTCAGTATATGGAGGTAATTTTATAACTCACGCTGGAAAACAACGTTCTCGAAACATTTCCGGAACGAAAGCTACGAAATAATTAAGTCTATTGATATAATTTATAAAAGAAAAAAAGGAGGCAGTTAATTTCGAGCAAAAACTTTAATTGATTTTAAGCAAGAAATTATATGATTATAAAATACAGTCAGCTGTTTTATTCTTTAAGTCTATTTTATTACTTATATAAGAGTATTAAGAGGATAAAATTTTGATAACTAAATTTATTCATTTTTGATTTATGACTATGAGTTCCCTAAAGCGGTAGATTGACATTTTAACCTTATATAAGAAATTCGCGGTCGCGATATTTTCTTTAGCAATTGTGGTCAATCTACAGATACTAGATGATTTTTTTTTATTATTAAAAAATATATATATATATATATAAACAACGTCCACTTGGGTCCACCAACCGAGTGGATAAACCATTAGTAGTTGGTTGCGGAATTACGTATTGCCGCACCAACGGGCTGGAGTTTTTCCGCATTTTTTCACATATTTAATACTAAATAGGAACCAATTTTCTATTAAAAAATTCTCCTGGAAGGCATTTCCCTTGATAGATCGTCTCCGTGTTTGTTGAATTGACTTAACTGTCAATATTTTGCAATCCAATCCTACGCCGCCGCTAAGGTAGCGACGGCATTGGATTGGATTGCAAGATAAGGAAGAGACAATGTCATAGTATGACCTTGAAGCCTACTGCATGTGTGTGAATTTTGGCAAGCTGTCTTTCCCTGCAGTAATGGCTGCAGGCAGCCACGATAATGCATTAGTGATTAAGTGAAAATGGCAGAATGTGACGAATCCCGATTTCACGAAGAAGATCATTATCAGAAATGAGAATTAAGAAAAAGACACCATCTTTCCAGTGAAAAGCGCTGGGCTTTCCACAGCCCAAGAAGACACCGCAATTATGCAGCAATGTAAAGGTCATGTTAACTGTTTTTCTTTGGTTTGGTTTGTTTGAGTTATGGCAACGCAACACTTGGGCGATCTGCCTAGGGGGATACCTTCCGGGAGGTCTTTTTAAGGAAAACTGGCCCCTATTTAGGCGTTACAGACGTGGAGAAAACCAATAAGTAGGATAAAAACAGTCAATAAAGTAAAAGCGTGTGGCTTGATACATACAGTTTAGTCTCTGTATATTATAATACACACAGATTAAAATTCTCATAAACTGGAAATCTGTGATTGTACCACGTTATCTGTCGATTTTGGCGTCGCAAAATTGGTTCCATTTTTCATTGGTTTCAATTAAGTTCGGATAAAGAGTTTCCCCTGTCTTCAATTTTATTTAAAAGTAATAGTTGTTAACATTTCGAACAATTCAATTCAAAATAATTTCTTTTTCTCGAATAAATTACTGATGAAAGCGCGAAAATAAATTTACAATAGACTACCTATATTATCAATATATTACTTTATTAATACAAAGAGAAACATGCTAAGCGAAAAAACAACATTTTATTAAACATTATATTATTAAGTTACTCATAGATAATGTTAATTATTAACATTATCTATGAATAATTCTTTGGTAGTAATACAGTATATATATATAAATTCTATAAAATAGTTTAGCAACCTTCAAGCATCCTTTACTTGCAATATTTGGTTATGTTTCGACAAGAAAGGTTCTAGTTATTAGGAAAAATCTTTGAATATAAGAAGACCACCGTCAAATTGATGAGATGCAATATCTTATAATCCATAATTTTTCGTTCGTTAAAAGTAAATGATTCTTAAGATTTAGAATCATTCATGGCATCCAGACACGTAGACTGCTACATGTCTAGATGGCACGCAATGATCATCCAAGATATATGAAAGGACTTTGTGAATAATTATCTTTATAGTAGGAATCATTACGTAAAAGAAGTTACTTTTAGTAACAGTAAGGATAATAAAGAAGGCAATATATTATAAATGATTCGTTGCAACGAATTTAGATTACCCACTGACATTTTTCGAATATTCTTCTTTTTTTCACTCGAAATAAGAGAGAGATATTCCAATAGTAAACCGTTATTCATATTATTTCCATAAAAATGTCTAAAAATTACAGAGTTCTCATACTGCAAAGTTAAATTGATATTAAAGTATGTTATATAACGTTTGCAGTGTTGAAGACCTTCACCTGGAACGAAGCAGTAAATAATTTTCAATCACGTTATTAAAATAAATAATTATCAAAAACGTAAAATGTTAAAATTACCTAAACGTTGCAATGTCATCAGGCAGAGAATTATGTTTATTAAATTCATCTTGAAAATCTTTAAAAGTATTAGGTTATTACATCTTGTGAAAAACTCACAAACGTCATGAAGTATCACTATCCTAAATTTACGAATGTTATATAATTTTTCGAAATTCTTACCTTAAAATCGTCAAAAAAATGGAAATATTTAATTAACGAATTTGAGTTGTATCTGTATATCACACATAGTCACATATTCTGCTTTCAAAATGGCATATTTGACACCGTAATACAATAGTCAAAAACATAACAAAAAAAGCCGAATTAAATATAAATATTTTACTTCGAATTCGATCCTGTTATTAAAAAACAATTTTAAAATTGCATTACAATTTAATTTAAAATAATATTCAATTTTTTAAAAGTTTAGAATTCGAATAGTACTACCAAGTTCGAATATTGTCTGTACCACGTGATTGGGAATTACTACGTCATGTGAATATAGTTCCCATTAAGTATATGAGAAATCGGTTAATCCGGCACGTACGAAACCAAATTCGATAAGTTTTGCGTCATCCGCACGTTTCAGACGTTGTCGTCCATTATGCTTCCGGTTTGTATATTTACGCTGATTAATTCGGTATGAAGATAACACGTTGCATGACTATGCCGTATAAATAATAAAAAAATTGCAAATATCAGCATTCACAACGATTCGTGTGCATTTAATTCTTTGACTACGTATAATGTAAATATAAGTTTTATGATTTACAAAAGCTTTACATGATCAGAATTTCTTTTTATCCTCTGCCTTTTAGGTTCCAAAACGGGCGTTTTTAGCAAGCCAAAAAGGAGGAGCCAAGTGATGAGGGGCGGAACCCGTCATATCCTGGACAGACTATCGCCAGAAAAGTCCTCGGATCCATAAAGCCAGCCCAAAACTAGGTAATACCGTCGCTTTTGACGTGACGTCAGACCGACAATGCCTAGCGACCTGACGTTAATTTATATGGTTACGCGACTGATTTCCTTCAATGTCACCGCTTGTTATATCACTGGTGACATATTTCTACAGAACCAATGAATATTTTATCTATACTCTACGGATTATTGCTCGGTAGTTTGTTTCGTAAAATGGCGACGTTTTGCTGATATTAGCTTTGCCTGTCTGTTTGGAAGAAATTTAATAAATATTGACCGGACATTGAATATCAGTGTCGCTGTGGCCGAGAACGGCCGGCGACGGGTAAGAGGCGGGTATCACTCGGACGAGACATTTTTTTTTTAAAACACAGTATCTCCATATACTTATTAAAAGTTATCTTTTGGGGTGCTTTTAGGGTTTTCTGGCCTTTCGTTTTAGGGATATTATGGCAGTTAATCGCCTGAATAATCAGGTGGCAATTTTACAAAATAATTGAGCATAAATTAATCAATTATATGCAAATTAAATATAGAACAGCACATTAAATATTAAAAATTTAATTAACGTTATTAACATGATCTCAGGTAAGTTCTAATTCAATTTTTAATTTTACATTTTAAAATAAAACAATAATAGATAATTACATACGATATTTAATTGTTATGTTACTTTTGATAATATAATTTTCATTGGACTCTTTATAGTAAATTACAGTCGACCCCCCTATAAGATCATAGATACGTTCCATTTTTTAGGAATCCGATTTCTTACGAGTCCTTCCAAACTATAGG